TATACAAGAGTAAGACCTCATTTTTAGCTAATATGCAATCACCTCTGTATACACCACACAAATGCACACACATCAGGACAAAAATATATTTTTAAATAATATTAAAATATGTTATTGTCAATGTTTGATTTTTAGTATATAACTTATTTTTTTTTCCCAGTTCCAAGATGGCAAACCCCCTTCCAAAAAGGAGTATTTCTGGGGCAAGGGGAAGGATTTCCAATGGTAAAGGTCAGGGGTTAGGGGTGGGACTTCCGGTCCCGAGATGGCAACCAGGGAGCAGGGCACCTGTCAAAGGGCAGGGCTACCCTTGCATCCCTCAACAGCTCACCAAAACTAATTAAGCGCCCCTCCAGCCAAAATAATTCCCTGCCCCTGAGTTAGATGCTCAAGAAAGCTGTCAATTAATATCAGCTGAGCAAGGTGCCATAGTTTTTAACATGAGCTGTATTTTTTTTAATCTCTGATTTTGTAGCCACCAGGCCAAAACCTGCTTGATTTTACTGGGTTAATTTGGCTTCAGCAAGAGTAAGCAAGTATAAGAGCAGAACGTTAATCTAATGTGAACAAATACTAATTAAAACCACAATAAACCCATAGTTGCTGTTTGCTTTTATCATTTTTAACTCCAGACCAAAATTGTTTTGTAGGCTCATTTAATGTCAGAATTCAGCTCTGCTGTTATTTGGTTATTCTATACTTCGGGTGTGAAGTAAATCGCATCATTTGCAGTCGCATAGCTATAATGGAAATCCACTGTGCGTAAACAAATTCAGATGCCGATTTACTATGTGCGGTACAATCCTGAAAAGTTCTGAGTGCCTTGTAAGTTGTCCTGAGCATTGTGAACTCCCAGTAAAGTTCATAGGAATGGAGGCTACTGAGCATTTTATCAGAAGTGCTCAGTATATTCCAGGATCAGGGCCTAAATGACTGACTGGAAAAATCAAACATCCAATGACTCCCAAGATGTCCCTAGGCAGTTTACTGCAAGATTAATTTCAAGTTTTAATGAAAATAAATGGTAATGATCTAATGGGGTTTTTAATTAGAAAATATACACAGTCTTTCAATTCATTCCATAAGAGTCCTGAGTGGTTGAAAAGCAAACAGAGAATCATACCAATCATTTATGAATATAAAAATACACAATACACATTACCAATTGCTCTAGAAAAATGTACATGTGTGTATGTGTTCATAATAAGAAATTATGGAGCTGATAATCTAATAATATAGGCATGCCCACAATAAGGCTCTGATCCTGATGTTTTAAAATTTTGTTGCTCTGTGACAAAACTGTAATTTCAGTGAGATCTGGGATCAGGCACTCCCTGAAAACAGGGGTTTGTACCCACTTGCTGTTTATGTAGCTGTTATCTCAACTACACAATGTTTTCCCTTATGCCACACTGTCTTGCTTCCTCAGTTAAAATGCTTCATGTTGCAAATGTTGCCATATGGTTTCTTCAAGATAAAAAAAAAAATACCCTGGATTTCTTTTGTTGCTAGCCTATTTCCAATGTTTTCTATTCTGGAGATGCAAATAGACTAAGGAAGATTGCATTAAGCAGACCAAACCATATAGAATATGGCTGTTTGACAATAAAAATCTCAGACAACTTTTTAAAATGGAAGATTATTTCAGGGATTTATTATTAAAAACTTAATCCCTTTCCCCTTGACATTTCTTTACTTACTATATATTCCATAATGAACAGCTTTTATTTTTTCTAAATTTTGCAAGCTGTGGATTGTCTAATAGATTCTTTTCCCATCTGGATAAAGTAGAAAGTTTGGTCTCGTAAGATAAAGAGAAGCTGAGTGTATTTAATGTTGACTACATCAGGAATTTTGCAGAGGAGTTGGAAATTCAGTAGTAAAATATGTGATGGAACTAAACAAAGCAAAAGGCAATGAAAAGCAAATCTGCCTTCAGTTTTATAGAGGACCTTAAGCACCATCTTAGCACTTAAAAAATACATGAATAAAATGGTTCTCTGGTCTCTAATTTCTAAATGAAACATTCATTTTCTTTTATAATCAAATCCTGCAGATTGTGTAGCGTGTTCCAAAAAATGAAAATAAAGAGACAGCTAAGTAATATATTGTGCTCAATAAATAATGCTTTTTCAGAGCCGTACATGCTGGAGTACTCAGTGCGAATATATTTCTCTATAAAGCTTTTGTGAATTCACAATTCTGAAATTCTGAGATAATTTATAAAACAATGGCAATGGAACATGAGAAATACAAAATTAAATGCACAAAAGTTAAGAAATGAAAAACAGTAAGACATGTGTAAGACAGCTAGCCTGGAGATGATGCGTACAATTTACATGTGAAGTCACAAACTTTCTTACACAGGTGTTTTATTCAAGAAAAAAGAAAATTACAGAACAAATCTTCTACAGCATTCTAGCTTTGTTTCCTTTTTTGCCGGGGAACTTGGCCTATCTGGAACTCTACCTAACACAGAGATATTTCATGTCTGAATAATATACCATAATTAAATGTATTACCCTGGAATAATAATCAGACTGCAAAGCATTTCCTTCATAGGATAGGAGCCTAGAAATGTAAAAGTAATCCCTTCTTTTATTTAGAAATAAATAGCCCATTTACCAGCAAAAACAGACTTGGAAATATTTTGGGGGAGAAATAACCCACTCCGCACTTCCAGCCCGTCACTGGGATTGAAAAGAATAAACTGCTAGTGACCAATTCTATAACAAGTAGTTGGATCTCTCTCTTTCTTTTTTCTTCCCTTCCCCTCCTCACCATCCCCACCCACCACAGACTTTTTAAACAGGAATCCTCTATCTATGAAGTTTCTCAAAGAGTCCTCCTGATAATTTTGTATACTGCATAATTGGTCCCCATATTGAATAATGCTACATACAGATCTCTTTGCCCATATTGAAAAATATGTATTTAAACTGGAACATGTGCAAAGAATGGGTACTAAAAGGATTAAAGAAACACAGAACGTCTTGTAAGTGAAAAAGTAAAAGCTTTTTTTATTTTACCAAAATGAAAATTAAAAGGAGACATGTGGGAAGGAGTTTAAAAAGAATGCATTTAGGGTAAATATCAGTGAGAAGAGCTATTTAATCTAAAAGATAATACTGGTGCAAGATTGAATGAATAAAAACTGGTCACAAACAAATGTAGACTGGGATTTAGAAGTTTTTTCTAACTATTCAATGAATAAAAGGCCTTTCAACTAAGTAGTGGGAGCTACAAGCCTGTTTTTTTAAAGATGCAATACAAGTCTAGTGAAGAGTTAGGAAGTTAGGAATAGGAAACTGAATAAGTGATATGTAGTTTTAAGTGTTTGGTATCTAAATGAGGGGGTAGAAAGAAGTATTGAGACTCATGTACATTGATTACATATGTGGGGAACGTTAGGTAATTGCATGCCTCACGGTGTCCACTAGTTGCCTATGGGACAGAAATAATTTTTGCTTGTTTTGTTTTCTCTTGAAGGTATTGCTTGTCTTTTGGAAGTGGGGATGCTCCACCTTCCTCTGGAACATTGGTTATCATCCCTGGGTAGATCATAGAAACATAGAATCAAAGAAAATTAGGGTTGGAAAGGACCTCAGGAGGTCATCTAGTCCAAACCCCTGCTCAAAGCAGGACCATCCCCAGGATGTGGGAGAATGCGTTGAGGGAATCAGTATGGAGAAACTTCTCATGCATGTGGATTGTGGATGAACTAATCTTAAGATTTAGGGTCAGGAAGGAATTTCCTCCAGGGAATAGTCTCCCAAGGTTGTCAGGATTTCGTTTTGTTGTTCATTCCTCTGTTGTTTTGGACATAATCTACCACCTAGGATCATCTGACTGACTACTTTATCTAACAGTTTCTAGGCTACCAGACATAAGTGGTCCCTTTGTTTCTCTTCTCTTCACAGTTGTTTTTTGGATAGTGTGGCAGTGCTTATTTTATTGGGTGCTTTCTGACTGGGTGTGTGAGAGATACTCATGAATGTTTTTGTAGATCCTTTTGGATACATGGCTGCCTGCAACTTCAGAGGACTAGACTCTATGATCTTGGTGGTCTTTTCCAGTTCTATGCTTCTAAGAAAACATCCAATCCTTAGGCTGACCCTATGTGGTATGGAAGGAATAGATTTATACTTTTGTGAGAAATAATGGACATGTTTTGCAATCCTAGTCATTTTGAATAGTTGTTTGCCAACATTAGATCCTACAATATTTGTGCAATTATACCAGAGATTAGTTCAGGTGTCTATTGCAGGCCACATTTTGCTTTCTGATGTTCACTAGTAGCACTCTAGTGAGTGCCCTCCAAAAGCCCTACATTTCATTTATGGTTTCTACCTGCTGAAACCAGTGGAGAGAGACTCTCAGAGAAAGACATGCTCTTAATATTTTGTTCAAACAAATGTTCTTGATACCTTTGCTGCCAATTTTTTTTATTTTTATTCTAGATGTGT